CCATCGTAGAATTACTCATGCTATTTGGAAGGTGATCTGCTTTACGTTGTCCTGACTAAATTTAGTTCCGCGGAATTCGTGAATTTGGGTGTATTTACAGACACATTCCTTGGAATTCATGTTTACATTTCATGGCGACTGTAGGCGTGTGTCTTCAGAGACGTGAGAAGGAAAGGAATCAGCCCGCAAAATCTGCTATTAAACTGTAACAGTTAAATTTGGATTCTTCCCAGAAATTTGGAAACACCTGGGGTTCTTCGTGAACTTGTGACGATGAAGAAATTCTGGTCCATTAATAACGCCCACAGATGGTGTTGATAGCGACATTCCATCATCTTCAGTAGCCACATATTTATAGAAACGTCATTAGAACCTTCAAGCTGTGAATGAGACGCTGTCAAAAAAAAGTTCCATATAGTAAAATACGAGTTCCTGTGTAAACTAGGTGGGATATAAGGTTCCCGTGGCGGTGAATATGAAGATGACTGTCTTCTGGGTTGTTGCGCCATGTCGCCTGGTAGACGTTTAACGACGTTACAGAGGTTCTTGCTATCTCAGTTATCAGGGTAAATTACCGTATGATGGAGGCAGCAAGGACCTCTGAAACGTCTGTAAACTTCTACGAGATAACACGGCGCAACAACCCAGAAGGCAGCCATCTTGCTGTGCAAACTAATGACTCTTCAGTATTTGACATCGCTAGCCAAGCTCTGGTTTTAAGGTTCGTCTCTCTTTCAGTAGCCCGAACGGATACAATTTTGGAACGGCGGATGGATATAAGCATCCACTAATTTGATGTTCGTTGCCAAGGATATCTGTCACTTGGCAACATTTCCAGGGCTATACTTTGACATCCCATAGCTAGACAACAAGTTGCATAGGCCACTAATGTTACTGTGCAAGTACGCACCAAATATACGAACATTAGACGGTAGAGGTTCCAAACCTCTACCCTAAAAGCCACAAACATTTTATGGCCGCTGGTTTGTACAGCGGATGAGACTAATTACTGCAGATTTTAACTTAACCACACACTTTATAATGAAGCTTTCATGAGGGATAATGCTATCATTTATAGTTCCAAAAGTACGTAATTAACGTGAGCAGTCGAACGGAGGAGGTTATAAAGACGCAATGTTTGTTGATAGTTTCAGTTGTGGCCTGGCAAGATTTTGACAGAGCTTAATTTTTTGAATCACAAAGTTTGCGTCACTCAGTATCTGAAATCTTTTTGGAGGCTTTGTTATACGAATGTGTTACAATTGAAACAAAATTATTCGTAGAAAATGGCATTCGTTTTGGTTATCTTTCGCTTTCAGCACCAAAATTACTCTAATGTGTCGTTACTTCCTGCATTTCACACATCGATACTATATTGTGATGGTTACTTCCGCCCAGTCGTCTGGCTTTCTGTAGGTTTTTGCAACTTCCCACAACGTCGACAGCCTTTCTAAATGAGTGTCTTAAAAACGTAGAAACAGCTTTCTACCTCAGTTGTTTTGGTTCGGCAACCATAATTATTCTCACATCTCTCATTCAACCTCAACAGTTGGCACTAACTACCTAACTAACAGTTAATAATGTGTAGTTAATTAGTCCAAGAACTGACAGACAGGACTGCCTTAGTGCTGATCATGGCTTGTTACTATTGGTGGGCGTTCAACTGGCTTCGTAATCAAAATTCATCTCTCCGGCTACTGTGTCTGCCTTGTTTAACGGTTCAGGAACTCCTGTCAGGCGCTGAATGAGAAGTTCTAATATGGATGGTAATTGACTGATTGCCATTGTGTATGAAAGCCCATGAAGGACAAGCACAAAGCTTGATGTTAAGCTGTGACGAAACGTCAGTGGAAGTCACGCCTCTTTACGTTATCGTCTGACGTTTCGTGACAACGGTACTGAGCGCCGAAACAGTTGTGAACCAGATCCGCGTTCATATGACATTTCTGACTGGGAATGGCCTTAGGAATAAGATAGTGAAATAAAGACACGAGTCACTGGATGTACTTAACGCTATTCTTCTTCTGTATTATGCACATCACTTCTAAACACAAAACTCAGTTTTAATTTGTTCGATGTATGACAACCTACTTTTTTTTCCAAAATAGCATTCGCTATTTGTTTCCTTTTTGGCTACTGGAAGCAATGTGTCATAATAAGTAAAGAATTCATTGCGCGTGACGAAAGTGTTATTATTATACCTTCGTAGTTAGTATTTCCCTTGTAAAGCAGAGCATGCTGGTTTTTAAGCGGTGTGACATTTTCAGCATGGAGGTTTGTTATGGAACCTTGACTTCGATTTCACTTTATATTATATTAAAAATGTAATAATTTTAGTATCATCATCATTAGGTCTGCAGCCCGATGCGGGTCTCGGCTTACCATAATTTTAGTAATATACTGAAGAAAACGTAGCAAATACTACAATGTCAAGAACACAGTTGTGTTCTGGAAATTAAATTGTATACAAAGAATCCAGACGATTTTTTTTTATTTGCAGCGTACGTCATGATTCGTATGCCAAGCAGGCTGACATACAGATATTTTGTTTCATCTCCGATAAATATTGCGCGTGCTTCTGGTCAAACCCCTTAACTTGAGCATTTAATAGATTTTCTGACGTGTTTGTCAGGATTCCACGCAGACTCACTGTGGAGTACTTAAAGATAGCTCTGTTTCAGAATCCATACATAATACAGGCATCGCTTGTGTAGCGTGTGGAATGAACTTGACTTCAGCATAAACTCTTTGTTGTCGCGACTCACTAACCTTTACGCCTTCCAAATTACCACTCGACCGCAAGCCTCAAGCAATTCCTTGCGTCTAACGTCCTCAGAATCGGAGTCTTGGAACGAAGCACAAACGCTTGAAGCCAGTACGAGAACAAATATCAGTTCCTTGCGGGGGAACAAAGGCGAGCCTAAAATACACTTTGTATGAAATTGCACGTTGATGGCTTACGTGTGTGAAGTTATATGTATCAGTAATAATGAGAATTACCATTGGCTCCAGAGGATCAGTACCAGGACAACCAATGAAGAGAAGATAAGGAATGACAATAAATAATAAAGATACAAAATACGTCGTCTCAAAGTAACAATATGGTACACGAATCAGACGTTGAATACTGATGAAATGATTATCTCATTTTTAATACGATCCTGGGATCGTCCAATACATCTGCAGTCCTCAGGAACTAATTACATGTGCAAGGGTTACAATTTCGAAAATTGCCTTAGGGTCGTGTGCCGGTGAATTGTTAGAACCCACTGTTCCAGAACAATGGGATCCAAGGGTTCTCATTGTTGCTAAACAATAACACCTCGACTGATATTGTTATATGAACGACTTAAGATCGTTACTGGAAGACACTGTAACAATGACCTAAGACGTACCGATGACCTTGGATCACATTTGTGCAACAGTGACCTACATGGCATGAAGCACACTTTCAGAATGACAGTGTACTCCAAAGACTACGCCTTTCCAATCTTGGTTAATTTAGGCCGTAACTGTTTTTATTGCACAGAGTGATGTAGTACGGGAACTCAAGACGTCTCACAGGCCGTGGGTTGTACGAAGACTGGCATGTCAACGCATTTAAATATACGTCCTCTGCAAGGTTATGTTTTCAGTAATAAATCCTCATAAAGGAACAGTTAAGATATAATAACAATATAATTAAAGGTTGGGGCTGGTGAAAGAACACACAGTCTGCTGATATTTCATGTTTTTATGGGGATTGTAGGACGACGCATAGAGCGTTTCAGTTGTCGCGTCACATTCAAAGAATGTTTGATGACGTGCAGCTATAAGTCGCTTCGTCTGTTAGCACGTATCGGTCACGTATAAGTATTTTGATAGAACTTCATATTAAGAGTTTCTCACTAAAATATTTTCTCTTCACACACATACTAGCAGACAGAAAAGAGCTGACTTATCAAGGTCTAAATTCAAGTATAACGAATAATTAGCACGCGTGCCTTACAAAGATGAGTCGTTAGACAATTTTTGTTTACCCGACTCTAAAAACATGTCTTAATTGTGTAGTGTCTTCAACAGTTTTAGTAGAAGATAACAGTTTATGAAAAAACTAATTTTATTTGTCAAGTGCTATTGTTTGCACTTACTTCGCACGCATATATTATTTTTTCCCTTTCTTTCGACACGCGAGTTGGAAAGTGTTCGCGATCACGGACCTAAACAAATATCTCGTAGTACATAAACGAAAAGTTTAGATGTTGTAGAGCGTAATGTAAAAATAAATCTCCCTGATGACGGAGGCAGTATGACCTCTGAAACGTTGGTAAACATCTACCATACTACGCGACGCAAAAACCCAGAAATCTTCACGACAGAACATATTTATGACGCAGACTGTACATCCTTCATGACGGCATGTTTTGAACACTTGGCAGAATAAAAGGAATGAATTTGGACGGCTTTAACTATAGAAAACAAAACACCAATGAGAAAAAGAGAGATGAAGAGAAGTGTGTAGGCAAAGAGAGTTACAAGCTGTGAGAGCAGGAAGTGCATTTGCCTTCATCTGGATTACCCGTTTCTTTCTTCAATTGAAGGCTGAGCGAGCGAGCGACCTTCTGTGGGTCTCGTCGGGTGTGGGTGAAGGAACCACAAGCAATCCTGGAACGAATTGACACTGCTGAATAATGAGGGAGTAATAGAATGTCAATGAAGACAATTGCATTATGCTAACACCGCACGCGAGGGGCGCTATGTGACGCTGCTGTCTGCACTTTGCTAGCTGTCGGTTCCCTTTGATGTCGTCAGGCTTTATGGCTACGATCGACCGTGATTTGAATGATACAAGACCCGCGAATTGTATAAACAAATTTTGCATCCACGGTTTTAGATATCAGCATTAATTAATTCTGTCACTGCCTGTATCTGCTTGTAGACCGTTGTAATATTCGATGCTAATTCAAATAATGGAAGTTCGAAAATGAATTAAAAGTGAATGTTTGTATGACCTTTTTCAGAATCACACCAGTCGGTAAACCAGTGGTGCCAACATCTTCATTTCATCGCACAGGAGCAGAAATCGGTACGTAAATCTTTCAACTGAACCATGCTACATTGAGAAGTGAATGATAGATTAAATTCGGAAATTCCTCGCTGTTTTCAGCCAACAAACTTTAGTTCTTCCATTTCCTATACAAGAATTATAATGCTGACCACTGTATTATACAGGCACGAAACTTAGTC